TATCTCAATTGCGTCATGTTTGTGTTGATTCGAATACACATATTTATTTTGGCCGTCTATACACAAACTTATTAAAATGAGTTGTTAAAATATTATAACATTCACAATATAAATATAAAATATATAAAATACGTTATGTTATGTTTTGGTGCTCTTTTTATCGTATTACGATATTACATTCCATTTTGGCACTTTCATATTAGAAACGACATGTTTCGATGTACTAAGACATCATCTTCAGGTTATCAATTCTATTAATTTTATAAACTATTATATACTAAGCTGCGTTGCATTTATTGATTTTATGAGTTTGTGAATCCATCCATCTTCATGATTGATTTGGTGTTAATGTTTCGTTGTTTATTGTCATGTTGTAATGTGTTGTATCATGTCTGACACAGATTCATTTAAATGCTGGTGTGTGATTATACTTCGGCAAAGTGGACGTTCTTAGGAACACGTCAGGAACGCGTCGTCCCTGGCAGCGAACGTAGTAAGCGTATTCAACTTACCCTTCCCATAACCGATGTCTAGTTTGAAGTTGTCACCACCAACCTCACCGTCCACGAGTCTGCCCAATCCGCCCACTAGATGGCCTTCTAGACGGACACCGTCGTACGATGAATCTCTGAGGTCCTGACCCGGCTCGCGGGCCGTGTCCTCCGGTACCTGGTAACTCACGATGCCCCCTGAAATCAGAGATTACATCTTTTTACTCACTGTATACCCCGTTTCATTATATTTCGCTTCTTTGGGTCTTTTAGGAACGCTAGAGACCAAGCGAGCTTCTTCTGGACATGGTAACTAAATGATTTCATGACGAGAAGATTGTAGTCAAAATTGTATTATCGGTCAGCAAGAATATATGAAGAGCCGAGCGCATCTAACACTTTTCATATATTTTTTTCTCCGATAAATACAATGCGTTAATTGATTAATCTGAAAGCAACTGATACTCTCTGGCTCCCGGCTAGAACTGCATGACTCACCGCCGAGCGCTACACGGTTTTTCCAATACGAGTCAACTATCCTTTCACAAAAAACAGAAACATCATTTTACCAGTGTTATAGTATTTATTGCTAAGAGACGGTAAGTGACAGTCGCGTTCCACTTTATCAGTAAACGTTCTGTATTAATCAGAAGAAGAAATATCACCGGAACGATCTGTAGAGAAAAGTAAACAAAAAAAATTATAACCAACATTCCTTTCAGAAAGTCTTGCGATTTTCGAAATAACTTAAGTATGTAACCGGGGAGAATAAGACCCTTTAGTATGAAACAAATAAGGCTATTTATTGACACGATATTATAAAAACATCCGAGTCAAATTTGAAAAGCACAAGTTGGTTATACACGACATAGAATACGTGTTTCGTTTCATATCCCAAACAGTTCTCTGGTTCACAAGCAAATTAATTGTCAATTAGCCGCGGCTTGAAGCACCCATCACAGTAGCAAACAGAACATGAACTTCGCTGAGGTAACAAACGACTGTCTTGGGACCTATTACTACAAGGATGAAACAAGTTATAGTAGCGGCCTCATATGTTTTACAGCTCATGTATAAATTATACACATTATGGTAAAACGCATATTCAGATACAGACGAAGAATAAAGTAATCTTAAAGATAAAAGCGACCTTATGTGACTCTGGGGACAGTTGCTATGGTAAATTCTCTTATCGCTTTGTTTTCTATAATACTGATGATGCACGAGGACTGCTAGTGTTTAAAGTGTTTTGTTTTCAGGTTCTTTTTTTGGATTTGGTGTTGTGTTATCAAAACTTTTTGACCATTTATAATTGGACAGTAAATAAAGTCACGGATTCTTTACGAGATCATCTTCATTTCAGAATTTTCTGTGAAGGCACGTAGTTTGAGTTATGAGAACACATATAGAAACGTTAGTTAGCGACGTTTCGTAAGTGTAGATCTGCTTGTGTTCTACTTAATTTTCCCGGGACACATTTAAAATAACCAAATGCTGATACATTATTATGAATATATTTTGTATAACAAATATAAAAGTCATTATGTAAGATTTAAGTTTCTCATGGTGGTGAAGATGATGTAGTTCTGGGTTATCATACCATGAAGACGTAGATATTAACGTCTCGGAGAAATATCTTTAGTTCTGAAGAAGGGGATATTATGTTTCTCCGAAACAATGGTATTTACGTCTACATGTTTCATAAACCACAACGATCTCATCGTCATCCAATTAATTGTTTATTTTAATTTTGAAATCATGCTAACAGCAAGTACCCATTAGCAGTGGAAAATCTCATATTTGATAGACAGTTACAATTTTAGTAGCCATGAAGAATTTCTTTAGAGTGGCGTGTGACTTTTTCATTCTTTAGCAGCTGACAAATGACAAGTAGATGCATGGACTGCTATGTGCCATCCCCTGTTTCCCATCTCTAGCAGGATCTAGTCTTCATCTACCCTGGCTACCCTATAACCCTGCGTCATCCACGAAACATGTCATGGTCCCGTTGGGATTCTGTAGTATCCTCTGGTAGTGGACGTGGTGTGTGAACACTGGGGACACTCGCCAAGGGGAAAAAAACTGGCAACAAGAAAGGTAAAAAGTGGAAAAATGAGTTAGACATGTATTAAAATGTCAGAATATCTTTTTAAAGTCTAACACGCTGGCAAACGCGATGAAGTCGGTTGATTAAAACATTTATGAATTTCCCAAAGGTTAATAATTGCCCGAAATGATTCTGCAGATTCTTTAGAGACGAAAAGTTATTGAATTTCGACAATAAAAAATAAATTTCCTTCTTCATGCATCAGCGTAATCCAGTCAGAACGCATGCATATAATTTCTGTTAAAATTGTATGTGCCCAAAAGAATTATTGTTAAACTGGTGGTAAATTATGGGGTATGTAAGAATAACGGAATTTCGCCTTAATCATCAGGGTGATAATCGCCTTAATGATGGAGTCAGCAAGAACTTGTGAAACATTTGTAAACAGATGGTATTATAATGTTCTGTTTTAATCAGAGTTATCGCACGTCTCACTGGAAGTTGAGAAATGACCAATGGACAGTAATGGAATGATGATTATCAGGGCAAAACTAAATAAATCGGAGAAAAATACCTGCTCCACTGTCATTTTGACCACCATGAATCTCCCCTGAATTCAGCCGGGACTGAACCCTGAACCTCTGTTTAACAACTTGAGGTGTGTAAGACTTGAGGTTCTCACAGCGGTGAGTATAATGATTTCCGTCTTCTGGGTTTTTGCGCTGTGTAGTCTGGGCGATGTTAACCAACGTTTCAGAGGTCATACTGCCTCCGTCATCAGAGTATGAAGATTTCCGTCTTCTGGGTTGTTGCGCTGTGTAGTCTGGTCGATGTTAACCAACGTTTCGGAGGTCATACTGCCTCCGTCATCAGAGTATGAAGATTTCCGTCTTCTGGGTTGTTGCGCTGTGTAGTCTGGTCGATGTTAACCAACGTTTCGGAGGTCATACTGCCTCCGTCATCAGAGTATGAAGATTTCCGTCTTCTGGGTTGTTGCGCTGTGTAGTCTGGTCGATGTTAACCAACGTTTCGGAGGTCATACTGCCTCCGTCATCAGGGCGATGATTACACAGCGCAACAACCCAGAAGACGGAAATCTTCAACTTGAGGTGTGACAGAGTGTTCTTCCGTTCACATATGATTCTGAGTGGGCATTTTAGGACATTTTCAAGCCAGCAATAAGGTATTAATTCAATCATTTCTTGCTTTGATTGCCTGCAGGCCCACACAACAGCAGAGAAGTTCAGACTGACATTATATTTGCCTTGAACGTGACAACCCGCGGTGTCCACTTCTGTTTCGTTCAGACGTATCCAATTCCACCCAAGACAATTCTGTCTCTTCTTCATTGAATTAGGTTCCTTTCGATTTTGTCCTTTTTCTCAGGGCTCCTTCTTTATTACTCTACTTCTCGGTTAATTGTTTTCTTTTTCTGTCGTCGTGGAATTGTACAGATGAGGAGAGAACTGGACCTTCTGTCTTTTCCGTCCTACATCTATCTCTTTCTGTAACTTTTACCATCCTTCTTGTAGCTCATTTACAACTTCCGGTCACGACGTCAAAAGTGGTCTTTCTCATCCCACTTCTTCTCTTCGTAGGAGAAACACTCGCTAACTCTTCCTGAAACCACAGACCGAAGGGTTAAAGGAATGGAACACGTTCCTGCTCCCGTCTTAGGTAAAAATATATTAATATGTAGTAGACTGGCGACTATTTATTTATCTATAGTTTATTTAATGGCGTTTTTAGTAGCTTAGACCAGTGGTATTCAACCTGGGGTACGCGAAGACATCTTAGGGGGTACGTGAAATTTAAAAAAATATATATATTATTTTATGATAAACACTGAATAATCAGTAATGTAATTTATTTAATTTATTTTAGACGTAGATTATATACTATGTATAACTTGAATTATACATCAACAACTTTGGGGGTACAAAGTTGAAGAGAAATTATATATGGGGGTACGTGAACAAGAAAGGTTGAATACCACTGGCTTAGACTACATAGCATCAAATGAGAAGGCGATAATGAATTGGAAATGCTGTGGAAGGAAGTGGTCGTGTCCTAATTTAAGGTACTATCCTGTCATCTGTCTTGAGGGACTGAGGAACTCTAAGAAAACCTCAGGACAACTGGCCTCCGGGCCAAGATTTGAATCCGGGATCTCCCAAATACGAAACAGGAGTGCTAGATTAGTGACGAGTTCTTATTGTCCAAGAACACTCGTTTCTCACTCCATCCCGTTTTATAATGTTTTCTGAATCGTGATATGCTGTCGTTTATTTTAATCTAGGAACCAAGACGAAGAAGGTTTGGAGCTGGAAAACTCAGAAATGTTGTAAGTACAGCTGAGGACATTAACATCGGGAGAGAATTTGCATATCTTATTAAGGATTTCATTATCACATTAAGTTTTTCTGGATACAAACATTTTATTTTCGGTGTACAGAAGTTTATTCGATAAAACAGACTACAGCTCCTATTTACCACTACGGAATCAGGTGACCTACGCTGTGTTATACTAGGAACACTACAACGTTTACATATAAGTATGTACGTGTACATAAGTCTTCTTTTAATCCATGTTATCCGAGTTAATTAACAATTAGTAGCGCGATCCTATGGAAATGACAGAACCTCATTTAAACAAAATGACTACAATAGTATCGGCGAACAGAATTGCGATGAAGTTAAAGTAACTGACACAAACAATACAGTTTTAAGGGAGTCAAATTTATGATGTTAAGTTTAATAAGCGATTCGATTAATTACTTTTATTTTGTCTATGTATGACCTCCGAAACGTTGGTAAACATCGACCAGACTACCCCGCGCAACAACCCAGAAGACAGAAATCTTCATACTCTGATGATGGAGGCAGTATAACCTCTGAAACGTTGGTAAACATCGACCAGACTACCCCGCGCAACAACCCAGAAGACAGAAATCTTCATACTCTGATGATGGAGGCAGTATAACCTCTGAAACGTTGGTAAACATCGACCAGACTACCCCGCGCAACAACCCAGAAGACAGAAATCTTCATACTCTGATGATGGAGGCAGTATAACCTCTGAAACGTTGGTAAACATCGACCAGACTACCCCGCGCAACAACCCAGAAGACAGAAATCTTCATACTCTGAT